CTTCTCAGGATTGCTTTGGCTATTCAGGGTCTTTTGTGGTTCCATATGAATTTTAGAACTATTTGTTCTAGTTCATTGAAGAATGCTTTTGGTAGGGATTGCACTAAATCTGTAGATTGCTTTAGGCAGGATGGCCATTTTGACAAAATTAATTCTTCCTATCCATGAACATGGGATGTGTTTCCATTTATTGGTATCTTATTTAATTTCTCTCATGAGTGTCTTGTAATTTTCAGAGTATAGGCCTTTCCCTTCCTTGGTTAGGTTTATTCCTAGGTATTTTATTCTTTTTGATGCAATTGTGAATGGAATTTTTTTTCTGATTTCTCTTTCTGCTAGTTCACATTAGTGTATAGGAATGCAACAGATTTCTGTGTATTAATTTTGTATCCTGCAACTTTGCTGAATTTAGATATTAGATCTAGTAGTTTTGGAGTGGATTCTTTAGGGTTTTTTATGTACAATATCATGTCATCTGCAAGCAGGGACAGTTTAATTTCTTCTTTACCAATCTGGATGCCTTTTATTTCTTTGTGTTGTTTAGTTGCTGTGACTAGGACCTCCACAACTATGTTGAATAAAAGTGGGGAGAGTGGATATCCTTTGTCTTGTTCCCAATCTTAAAGGAAAAGCTTTCAGCTTCTTGCTGTTAAGTATTGATATACTGAATTTTTCATGTGGATTGTATCATTAGTTCCTCATTATAACCCTGTGAGGCAGGGTTTATTATAGTGTCTAGTTTATAGGGGAGGAAACTGAGGCACAGAAGGTTAAGCCTTGACAGAGCTGGGGAATATAGCCTGTCAGCTCCTTTGTTGTGCCTGTCCTCTCCACACTGTTCTCCATAATATCTGTTACTCTTTATAGATTTCCCTTTCTTCATCCCTCTTAGTCCAATCCCAGACCCTTCTAATTTCTACCAGTTCTTTTTAGTTCCTTTCAAACTCTTCAGCCCCCTTTTATGCCCTGGATTTCCTTCTCATGAGTCTTTACCCAATTCCTGATTGGTCAGTCTCACTGATCTCCCATTTGATCCTGTTTCTCTATAATTTCTCCACATCCTCTCTACCTTCAAATCTTTGCAGTTTCCTTGAGCCCCTTTCCCCAGTACCTTCTATTCCTCATAGTTCTACCTAATATCTTTTGACACCTCTCAGTCATTTCCAAGTCCCTCAGGTCCTCCTTTCGAGTCCCCCCCTGGACCACCCCATTGGCCTCCCTACCTACTTCCCAGTCCCTTTCTTTCTTTCTTTTTTTTTTAAGTATCATTGATAAACAATCTTATGATGGTTTCCCAGTCCCTTTCATTCCCCTTTCTTTACATCCTGCTCCAGTGCTTTCATTACTGCTTTGTTACTGTTATTTTTTCCACAATAAAGATCTTTACCTTTAAAAATGTAAACATTTTACATTAAAATTTACATTACATTTAAAAATGTAAACAGTGTATACATTATAAAAACATAATGCAGGAAATCATGAGGAAGAAAATAAATGAAATCCCACTGCTGAACTAAACCACTATTACCATTTCTTCATACCTTTTCTCTATTTTTATGTCTATACATTCACACACACAGACTTTCACGTAAATAGAATCATACTAGTCTATCTTTCCAGTTGCTCAGCTAAACCCTGGTGTCATCTTCAGATCCTCTTTAACTTACATGCCTCATACCTACCTCATCACACGTCCTGCTGGTTCTATCTTCAAAGTATTCTAGAATCTGACCCACTGTTACTACCCCAACTAGTACAGCCTTTATCTAAGCCACCATAATCTCTCATCTGGATCATTGCCAGTCTCCCTCTGTTTCCCCTGTTACCCCAACAGTCCATTTTTTCTATACCATACAGTAGTCAGAATGATCCTGTTAAAATCTAAGACAGACCATATTTTTGCTTACACCTTCAGATGGTTTCCTTGTCTCACTCAAAATAAAAGCTAAAGTCCTTAAAGGGGCCTCCAAGGCCTACTTGACCTGGCCCCCTTGGTATCTCTCTGATTTAATTGCTTACTGTTTTCTTCTTTCCCCCAACTCCAGCACACTGGGCTCCTCCCTATTCTTCACAGCATGCTCCTGCCTCAGGGACTTGTACCTTTTATCTTTCTGGAAAGCTCTTCCCTAATCCTCATATTCTTTCCCTCCTACCTTTGGGTCTCTGTTCAAATGACACATAATTAAAGATATTGTCCCTGACAACACTAAAATATACCCTCCAACCTACCCAGCGCAGTATTCTCTATCCTCTTTTCTTGCTTTGTTTTTCTTCATAACACTTATCACAACCTAGAAAATATTTATTTATTTTCTTCCTGGATGTGCACTCAAGGAATACTTGAATGAATATTGAGTAAATGAGTATCACACACGTGCATGCTCTGCCAAGTCACTTGATTGCTCAGAGTCCCACTGTATGGGTTAAAGAACAGGCTTTTCTGGGAAAACAAAAGAAGACCCACCTAGCAGAGAATACCAAGGCCAAGAGCAGTGGTTATGGCTGCTTTTCCTTCTCAGGGCAGGCATGAGAGAAATTAGTTCAGTGGGGCAAATAGGCTACTTGGGTGTGAGGAAGTCTGGATTTAGATGCTGGTTATTTAGAAGAGTTGTCTGAAAAAACCACTGCCCTGCTCCTGGTGACTTTGGGGCCCATAGGAAACGACTGTCCCCATCACAGGAGGAGAAAGCTGCTGCTTTGTAGGAGGCTCAGTTTGACTGTGGCCATTTCCTCCTGGGAGAAGGGGGAGTCCTGGTTCCAAATATGTTGTCTTGACAACCCAAAGTGAGATCCAAGGTCACTTTCAGATAGTTCTGTTTATCACACACATATAACAAGGCATGTTTCTATGAGATGGGGGATACTGTCACTTTTTTACCACCATATATTCAGGTGTATCCATCTAGACTAATGCATGGAAAGTTAGGTGGATGCCTTCTGACCTCATACTCCCTGTCACACAACAGCTCACAACACAGACACTGCTCTGCTGTGAGCTGCATAATAAAGACCAGAAGGTGATCTTGGATAACAGCTGGCCTTACATGGAATGAAGAATAGATGGTTAGATGGGACTTGTATTGGTTGAGATCACAGCTTGTTTCACACTAAAAATATAGGCAAATTGAGTAGGAGCTTATGAAAGTTCATAATAAGAGGCTGGGATCCAAGATGAAAGCCTGACATGCTTAGCCATTAGGGCCAACCTTACCTCTGAAGGCAAGTTGAAAGCCCTGGACAGAGGTGCCCGGGAAAAGGTGCCCTGGCCAAAGGAAGCTTGATAATGGGAGCTGCAGTTGGAACAGAGTCCTTCTTTGTCTATGACTGGACTCTTCAAAGAAATCCCCTCTGTAGGGATTCCCCAAATCTTGCTTCTAGATGTCAGTATCATACTGTCTTTGAATTCTGAAAAAAACACCCCAAAGATTTCTTGATATAAAATATTTTCTTGATTTTATGACAGGGATAGGAGGGAGAGTGTGATGTGATGACTTGATATGAACCTAGGTAATGATTAGCAATGTTACTTTTGTCAGAGCTGATCAAGGCCATATAAGGTTCTCTATTCAAAGGAATTTTGTGATTAAATCTTTTATTTATATTTTTGCCTCTAAATGTATATGTTTTTGAAAATTGAGGGTTTTTTATTTGCATAACTCATTACATTCTGTCTCTTCTCTTTCAATATATGTAGATTTCAAATTACATAAACCATCCAAAATAAGCTGATTTTTTTGTACAAAGAGAGTCATGGAATGAACATGATATAAAAGTATGCATTTTTATAGTTAGTAATATATCTGTTTCAATACCTATATTCAGATATATTTATTACATATTTCAGAATTTCACTATAATCACTCTGCCATAGACTTCTAGCTGAATCTTTATGTTTCTTTCCTTTTCCTCTTAAATACCATCCAGAAAACAGTTTAACTGGTCTACATCACTTAGGTTGTACTGCTTTCTGAATGGTTGGAAAAAATGGAGTTTAAGACCACATGGCCTGTTGTCTCTAGACTTTAACCTACACTGTGAATTCTCAGTAGTTGAAATATCATAGTCCAGTATCTCAGAAAATTTTCCATAGGAGAGGAGGGGCTTGAACTGTAGTTATGTTTCAGTAGTCTTTCACTGAGAATTGCAAAGCAGGCTATAGAAAAATCATACTGTATATAATATTAAGCCTTAAATGAGTTCCTGTGTGTTCAATGAAATTTCATTATCATTATAATGCAGTTTCAGCTTGAATTTGAACTGGGTGGCATGGATCAGAAAGACAATTTACAGCAAGGTCTTAGTATGTTTCACTTATTGGTATATTTGTCATTGGGGACAAGCATGTATACTTATTTTTCTTTTTGGTATTCAACAGAGATCAGTAAATGATGGTTACCCCAAACATATTTCACCTGGTGATAATTTACAAAATTTTGCTGAAGGCCAAGATGAATATTGTATGGAAGAAGTCACTTTTCCCGATTTACTTGAAGTAAAAGCTGCTGAATACAAAGATGATCAAGAATATATCAAAAAACAGCAGGCAAATATTTTTGTGCCAAGTAGTTCTCCAGGTAAAGTTGTTTTACAATAAAATAGTAAAGTCATTAATAAATCATATTATAGGATAATAGCTTCTTTGTATGCTGGATAGATAAAAAGTACTGCTTCAAAATTACAGGAAATTTTCTACATTTGTTCCTCATGCCTTCTCTGAGTTTAAATAAATTGAAAGAACTCATTCATTGTATGTAATGTAGACTTTGCACTAGACTTCAGTGGTCAGATACATGATAGTTCCCTTTTGCTGCTTCTTTGGTCAATACCAATTTAATATTTTGGACTTTAAAGTAATATCTATATTTTGTTATTAAGTGATCAACCAGTGTAAACTACCAAAACATAAGATCCCACGCTTTTTAGAAGATGAAGGATTCTATGTTCAGAGAAAGCCAGAAATATACAAAAAGACCTGCAACAAAATGGAACATCGCCTGGTTAACCTAGAGGAGGTAAAGTTCACTAGCTAACAAGCATAACAGCTCACTGAATAGTATGTGACATTTGTTTTAGTGACATGCCTAATGGCTATATTTCTTAAATATTTTGATAGGGAAAGTGTTGGTTTGAAGAAAGTGGAGAAATAATGTCATTACCTTCGCCTATTAGACAGTCGTGGAATTTCAGACTAAACATAATCAAGGAATCTTTAAATCCAGCGCTAAAGACCATCTACAGGAAGGTAACCAACAACAGTGGTTAGAATTCCTGTAATATCAATTACAGGTTATGTTTCTGCGCTATTAATTCACCCTTTAAAGATACTAGTAAGTCTAGTAATAAAATGGCAAAACTTCCCCATTAAAATTATGTTTTCGAGTAATATTTAACAATATGGGGAAATGCTCAAAATAAAATGTGAAGTGGAAAAAAGCAGAATGTAAAACTGCATCATCTTAATTTTATAAAAATAGATGAATGAATTAATGAAATTACCAATGAATGGATAATTTTACATATATGTATATGTGTAGATAGACTGGAAAAATATATCAAAGTAATTATCTCTGGATAGTATGATATAGGATTATTTTTATTTCTTCCTTATACTCTATTTTCTAAATTTCAAAAATGAATATATATCATACTTACAAAGAAACAAATTTATATGTATTCCAAAAGGCATTATGGAAATTAGTAGTCCATTAACCTAATGAGAAGTCCATTAACCTAATGAGAAGTAGTATTTGGAGGGATTTATTAAAAAATTGACTTGGACAATTTTGATCAGAACTATGTACAAAACTTAATTCCCCATTCACTTACTGCCTTGGTTGCCTTAGCCATTCAATATATAGGAAATATGACTGTAAGTAGATACAAAATAGAAATAGTACCTACTCAAAATATTTCAGGAGTTTGTTCTTTATTCCCTCTATTGCTTTAAATCTATGAATAGCTTCTATGTTTCTAGCAATTATATGCCATCTGTAGTTAGTGTTTTTTCTTTAATTGCTGTATCCCCTATTTCAGTAGCTGCAACATTTTAACAGCAAGAGCACTTAGTTCCTTATGAGGTTGATACTTCTCAGCTTGAGAGAAAATGAGGTTTCTCCCTAAACTGATGAGATTTATACTTTTGGAGGTCTGGTCTGTGAGAATCTTCTCTATATATGATATATGCTCTCTTTTCTTCCCCACAGTTTGTATTTCTTTCTCAGAGAATCTAGAAAAATTTTTTGAAATCTTTCTTGTATTGTAATATGTTCTTCATTCCTTTAAATTGCTTAGAAATTTCTCTCAAGATCTCTAAAAGATTACCAAAGCCTTTTGTTCTTTCAGGATCCAATACTTTTTGCTGCTAAGAAAACCTTTTATTCCTTTACCATACAAAATGCCTCTAAGGTTGAATTATTTTTCCCACTTTTATAGATGGAAGACATATATAATTTTCTACCAGACCTTCAGATAATCTGATAAGCAGAATTCTATCCAACCTAAAGCAAAGAAACTTAACACTTTAATGACACTGTATAATTAGGTCCTTGGTCTTTTTGTCTTTTCCTTCAGTACTTTATCTTATAATCATCTTAATCCAATCATATTAAACTGGTATCAACTGGGTTGCAATTTTGTTAAGGCTCAATCTGTATCTACCATATCTTCTGTTGACCTAATCTCTTGGCTGCTTGAGTGTAAGCAGAGTAAGGTTTTCTTCTTTTTTTTTTGTTAAATCAATTGCTAACATATATCCAATGCTTAGCATACAGTACACACTCAGTGAATGCTTATATTATTTGTAATGGAACCTATCACCTCAGTAGACGTAAGCTTTTAGGATCCTAGTATAATTTAGAAGAGAAAGACACCAGTTGACTGGCATAATCTTAGAAAATCTTATATTCTGCATGGTACCTATCATACCATGAGAGACTGGCAGTATCTCTGCCCCATCCTAATTCATAGTATAACACATTTACCTATATTCTATAAATGATTCCCCCATACACACCCACACACCCAGTATTGCAAAATATTTCTGTTTTCCCCAGTGTGGTTACTATAAAAAACTATCTCAATTAAAAAATAGAAATAAAAAGATAAAAGAGGAAGGAGGGAAAATCCCTGGTAAATTTATCTTATCTTGTTATATGGCATAACTTTTATGCTTTATGGTGATGATGTGTTTTATCTAAACTTTTGCTCAAGATATAACAGATATTTTAACATAATTATCTCAGACTATTGCTCTTGGGGAGAGAGGTCCTTAAAACAATGGCATTTTGTTGAATGAATGGGATATCAGCAAAGGGATGATAACAAGTAAATGCAAAAGCTGAAACTGGGGGGAGAAATATTAACCACCATCCAGATTAACCCTTGTAACCATCTAGAATCCTAAATTCGAAACTATTGGGTTAAACAAGTAATTTTTTCCACCAGTACATCTGTTCTAATTTCTACCAAGCACAATTTCAGTATTTCATAGACCCTTAAGAATTGGGAATAAATGTGTCACTTCACCAACCATCTAAACTGAGTGTTAAAATTAATTCCGTAGCATCCTTAACAGATAATGTTTGGGAATTTGTGTAAGACAAAATGCTTCTGCCTGCCTTTCCCTATCTTCTCCACATTTTTTACTCTGCCCAGCCAACCTTGGAAACAAGGATCATTTGGGGTTTCTAACCAGAGTAAAAGAAAGGAAGTGCAACTGAAGTGGAGATAATAGCTGCCTGAGTGTCAGAATCTTCTCTTTGCCATTGTCTCTGCTAGGTACTCTGATACCCTATTGTACTTCTGCTGCCCCAGGTCTTATCTGCCTGTTATTTGCTGACTAGTTTTGCCTGATCATTTGACTATGCCCTAAATACTCCCTCTTCTAGCACTCCTCTTATATATTTACACAGATTTTTCTCATGTCATCAGGTTGGATGTTTTTGGACTTTTATCTGGCCTTTGATTCATTGTTGCCTAGATCTTTGTGCTTTTGGTCTAACACACTTGTCTTGTTCTAGAAGTTTACTTAACCTGCTCAGTCAACTGCTGCTTATAGCTTGTGTGTTAGGGAGCTTACTACCTCCTGAGAGAAGTCATTCCAGTATTAGCCAGTTCTAATTGCTTATGGTTTTTGATGTTGAATTAAAATCTGCCTCCTGGATCACTACTACTCATTTGACCTTGTTTGGCCATAAAGTACTAAGAAAGTACTTCACTTATGTGACATCTCAAATATTTGAAGCTTGTTACCTCTACCTTTAGCTTCTGCTCTCCAGGCTACACTCACTTGCTTTGACTATTGTCAGCTAAGGAGCACCATCTTAGTTACCTTCCTCCAGCTTCTGAGCATCACAGTCAGTAGATACTGAATAGGACAGGACCAAGAGCAGAAGTTTGTGTCACTCCAATAGAAACTCAAAGAAGTAAGCAACGCAGCTATTTGATCAGTGCTGAATCTGTTTACCAACATAGACATCTCTAGCTTAGAAGCTTTAATTTCTAAAAGTTCACTTATAATTTGTTTACAACTGAAACTGTTTATTTCCTTGATGTTTTTCCTGGTAATGACCAAATTACTACCAATTAAGTAAATCTTATGGGTGGAATCAAGAGCAGATTTTCCTCTGTGAGTTTGCCCTTACAGAGAGAATAGAGTCTTACCAGATAAGGATAAAACAAAAATGCACTTTATGGCTTTCTCTTGCCTCCCCTCAACTCAGTGAAGAAAAAGAGGAAGATTCATAGCTCAGGAAAGAGTAGGGAGGGAGACATACAGGTCTCATACTGGTGACCTCTAGTCCTTAAGAAGCCCTGGATCTGCTACACAAGGTCAGGGGTAGGACAGAAGTATTTTCAGTGTAACAGCAGGTATAATAACAATGGCACAGACTAGAGGGCCTGTTCTATTACACCAGACTGATCCAGAGAGGGAGTTCATGCTCTCCTTCTAAGGTGGATGCAGTCATGGCTCTTAATAGGAGTGGCTAGGCATTTGTGAATTAGGCTGTACATTCTAAGTAATCTGCTAACCTTCTCAAATTACATTACTAAAAACCGGTCACATGCATATTCGAGCAAATGTGCTTAAATTCAAAGTAATATACTAAAAATATAGTCAAAATCATTTTGCATATAATCTAAGACCTACAGACTTCATCGGATTTAGGGGCAATCTGGTATTCAAATAGAGATAGCTCCATGTGTAAGAAAAGATGGTCTCCTTATAAGGAGTAATAATAGTAATACTATATTTGCTTAGATGGTCTAGGCTGCTTCAGGGAATTTTCCAGGGGAGTACCAGCATATCCACTATGGGCAATGCTTTAAGAAGGGTTTTACCATTAACTCTTGCACACAGATGACAATTAAGTCATTATATAGTCAAACTATTGATCCAATGTGAGGAAGTCTGGATTTAGATGCTGGTTATTTAGAAGAGTTGTCTGAAAAAACCACTGCCCTGCTCCTGGTGACTTTGGGGCCCATAGGAAACGACTGTCCCCATCACAGGAGGAGAAAGCTGCTGCTTTGTAGGAGGCTCAGTTTGACTGTGGCCATTTCCTCCTGGGAGAAGGGGGAGTCCTGGTTCCAAATATGTTGTCTTGACAACCCAAAGTGAGATCCAAGGTCACTTTCAGATAGTTCTGTTTATCACACACATATAACAAGGCATGTTTCTATGAGATGGGGGATACTGTCACTTTTTTACCACCATATATTCAGGTGTATCCATCTAGACTAATGCATGGAAAGTTAGGTGGATGCCTTCTGACCTCATACTCCCTGTCACACAACAGCTCACAACACAGACACTGCTCTGCTGTGAGCTGCATAATAAAGACCAGAAGGTGATCTTGGATAACAGCTGGCCTTACATGGAATGAAGAATAGATGGTTAGATGGGACTTGTATTGGTTGAGATCACAGCTTGTTTCACACTAAAAATATAGGCAAATTGAGTAGGAGCTTATGAAAGTTCATAATAAGAGGCTGGGATCCAAGATGAAAGCCTGACATGCTTAGCCATTAGGGCCAACCTTACCTCTGAAGGCAAGTTGAAAGCCCTGGACAGAGGTGCCCGGGAAAAGGTGCCCTGGCCAAAGGAAGCTTGATAATGGGAGCTGCAGTTGGAACAGAGTCCTTCTTTGTCTATGACTGGACTCTTCAAAGAAATCCCCTCTGTAGGGATTCCCCAAATCTTGCTTCTAGATGTCAGTATCATACTGTCTTTGAATTCTGAAA